CAGTCATAGAAGACAATTTGCCGATGCTTTGCTAACTTTTGTTCGGGCTTTCCCCATCTGCTGGTCCTGCCCAGTGTCCAAAGCCTGTGCAGCCTCAGTTGAGATGCTGACCCGCTTCAGTGCCACTCATCTTTCCTTCCCTGGGATTTTCAGAAGCCTGTCTGTACTCCGGGGCAGGCGAAGGGGCCACACCCCAGGTGGGAGCTGCCACCTTGTGTGAGACTGCTGAGCGTGTAGATGGCTGGGAGCCCCTACCTCTGGAGGTGGCCGTTTGTTCTGTATAAACCCGAGTGCTCTGGGACTCGGCAAGGAAACAGGAAAACCGTCCCTTTTATGGTCTGTTTTTTTCCCCCTTTAGCAGTGGGGGCTCCTTCTTGGCCTCTATTTTACAAAATGAAAGCAGTTGGTTAGTATTTCTTAAAAATTGGATCTTAAAATTTTTTTTGTTTGTTTGATAGAATTAAATGACCGGGAAGAAAATGAAAACCACTTTCCAATCATTTATGGCATTGGTGAGTAGTGTTTGAGGGTTGGAAACTGGCCACATGTTGACAAGGCAGGCTCCAGTGACAGGCGCTAGTGAGCCCACTGATGTCAGCATGTCACAGCCTTAGTTCTGCTGTGCTTGCTGGGGACCCTGGGCAAGGAGCTTATCTTCTCTAAGCATTATCTTCGGAAGAGAAAATGTCCTCATCCAGACCGGGAGGAGAGAGCCAGGAGCACCTATAGAGCACGGACAGCCACCAGCAATGGAGTGTTAGTGGCGCTCTTCTCTCCCGAGGGGGCCAGCTGTGCTTTTCTCCAGCCAGGGCGGCAGGGGCTGGAGTGGAGCATAATAATTTTCTGATATGTAGGGAATCAAGGGAGGTTTTGATTGAGAAGGGAAGTAAAACTATCAGATTAGAGAAAACCCAGAAACCTCCACCCTTTCGGGATGGTCCCTAAGACTCCAGAGGTACAGGATGAAATGCAGAGGGCTTCTACCATGTCTGTAATACTTCATGTATTTAGTTGTGGTGGTGGGTACACAGATGTGTTGTTTTCTGTAACATATATATTTGAAATGCGTAGTAAAAATTAGAAAACAAACAAAAGCACCAGACTTGGCCATGATCACAGGCCCTCTACCCCCAGCCATTTGCAGACACGTTTGGTCACAGGGCTGACCAGGAAGGCCTTGCCACGCACCTGCCTGAAGAGACTGAGTGTCTTCCTGTGGGGCCGGCTCTTGGTCTGGAACAGTCTTACCGAACCTAGTTCAGCTCAGGTCTCAGCCATTTTGAGTGAGGTACTTGGCTAAAAGATTGCATTGTCCCTTTCCAGGAAGGAGGAAGCTACAGGCATTTAAGAGTAATTTTGTTCAGTTTTCATTCTATTCTGTATTTGAGAGACTTATCCATATTCTGTTATGTATGGTGGGAGAACTGTAGGCCTGTGCAAACTTCCCATGGCCAGTGGGAAGTAAACATCATTACATAATGTCTTTCGTCAACTCAGTCATCCTGTTGTCCCTCACAGCTGTCAACTCAAACTTCCCATGTTTGTCTTTCATCAACTCAGTCATCCTGTTGTCCCTCACAGCTGTCAACGTTAAAACTGCAGAGATCTACAGAGCCTCCTTCCAAGATCGCGGTCCGGAGGAGGAGCTGCGTGCTGCACGAGCTTTAACAGGAGGACCAGTGAGTTTGGAATCATCTTTGTGTTAAGGGGTTAAGAAGAAAAAGGGCATCAAGCTCCAAAGCCTTATAGACCTTAGATATGAAAAGTTCATGTCAGCTTCTTTAAAGCTGTGAATTAATCAGGGGCCATCCCTCTCTCTCTCTCTCTCTCTCTCTCTCTGTGTGTGTGTGTGTGTGCGCGCACGCTTTTAGGTTATAAGCTCAAGACCCCAATTGATCAAAAGACCAATCAAATCAATTTAAAAGTCTGATTGCCTTAGGGTGCTTTTTAATTAAATAACATTTTTAAGTGATCTTTTTATTTTATATTTATTTTATTATTTTTAATCCTTACCCGAGGATATTTTTCCATTGATTTTTAGAGAGAGTGGAAGGGAGGGGGAAGAGACAGAGAAAGAGAAACATTGATGTGAGAGACACACATTGATTGGTTGCTTCCCATACACACCCTGACCAGGACCAGGATGGAGCCTGCAACTGAGGTACAGTACATGCCTTTGACTGGAATCAAACCTGGGACCCTTCAGTCCACGGGCAGACGCTCTATCCACTGAACCAAATCAGCTAGGGCTAAATAACATTTTTTTAATGTGTGTTTTGTTGTTACTGATTTCAGAGAGGAAGGAAGAGGGGGAGAGAGACAGAAACATCAATGATGATGAGAGAGAATCATCTATAGACTGCCTCTTGCACATCTCCTACTGGAGATCGAGCCTGCAAGCCAGGCATGTGCCCTGACCAGGAACCGAACTGTTACCTCCTGGCTTGTGAATTGACTCTCAACCACTGAGCCACATCGGCCAGGCTGAATAACATTTTAATTTTAAAGATTAGAAAAATAAAAACCCAAGACTGACATACCCCGCTTGAAGATTAGGTGAAAGAATCCTTTAAAAATGTGTGTAAAACTGTGAAAAGAATAGAAATAACATTCAAAGCACCCAAAAGAGATCTGCTCATCCATGAAATGCTGACAGTTTCATTGGAAAATAATGTTTGGATTCAGAGTGACCTGTTTTGCCAACCCTTTAACATTTTTAGAGTTCCTTTTATAATTTCTCAAGTAGTATCATAGCCTTGATTTAGCTAATATTCAGAATATATTTCAATCTCAGTAACCAAAATAGAACATTGGCGGGTAAGCTGACAATGACCATTGACAAATTTGAGAATTTAGGGAGTTAGTTGATCATTTGGTAAATTAGCATTTTTACAAATTGTTTTTCCTTTCTTTTGATGGGGCAGCAGGCATTGTGTAAAGTTGCAAGGTAACTTAGTTACTTGGGTATAAATAACAGGGCAGTGTTTTATGTAGCTATAAGGAACATGGACTTCAGTCAGACACACCTGGGTTTGAGGCCCAGCTCTGACACTTACTGGAAATGGGATTGTGGGCTATGTGCCCCATCTCTGAGCCTCAGGTTTTCAACCAAAATGGGGGAAATGTCATCTTCATGCAGGATTGTTGTCAAGACTAATATTTGTTACCCACAAAGTGCAGTACCCGACAGTTGGAAGTATTCAGTAAGTAGCAGCTCTTGTTATTAGGAGACATAATTGTAAAGAAGCTTATCATTCAGATAAATGCCTTAACTGCTAGACTACACTGGAGCATGCTTTAATGGTAGGGTGTGAGAAGCTGATAGCATTCCTTAAAATCTATCCTTGCAATGTTCTTTTCAGATGGTTAGTATTTACGATGCAAAGACAGAACAACTTCGTATAGGACCGTATTCCTGGGTGCCATTTCCACATGTGGATTTCTGGTTGCAGCAAGATGATAAGCAAATTCTAGAGGTGAGAATTTACAAGTTGGGCAAATCTTAACTCTCTGGACCCTGGTTCCTCATCTGTAAGAAAGAAAAGGGTTTAGACTAAATAATAGCTGCTTTCCCTTCATTGGGTAGTATTTATTTTTAGGATGCCACTGGCAGACCCCACTTAACTTTTGTATCAATGGAGATAAGTAATGTCCTGGGTAGACACTTGCATAGGTGAAGTAGTAAGCAACCAACTGCTCTTTTCTCATGAACCCAGTACACCTGCTCTTACGTATTTTACAGTTTACATGGGTTTATAGAGTGATCTGAGAACATCCTGATTAATGTTTAAGGAACACAGGGATATTTGTCATCTTTATCAAAGCAGGGAACAGAGCGAGGTTATTCTCTCATGCCTCATATCTTGTTTTTCCAGAACCTTTCCACTTCACCTCTGGCCGAGCCCCCCCACTTTGTTGAACATATTAGAACAACCTTGATGTTTTTAAAAAAATACCCATCTCCAACAAATACACTATTTCCTGGAAATAAAGCTCTACTCTACAAAAAAAATGAAGATGGCTTATGGGAAAAGGTCCCTTCTCCAAGAAGCTAAAAATAGGAATTACCAAAGAAAGCAACTTTTTGGCATGACAGAGACCATTGGTGGGGGTTGGACAGAATATGAATTTGGAATCTACATCCGTTGAGTCTTAGTGTCTTTCAAATGACTTTCAAAATAAAATCTTATTTTGGCAAAGGCATTTGTTACTTTTTGCTTTGCTAAAAAGTTGACATCCAGCTGTTCCTTTTTGGTTAGTGATAAGGGGCAGAGAAGAAGCCATCTGCTCACTATTCTATCAGTTATTTCAGTTACTTAGGTAATTCTAATTCTACCAAATTAGTGAATAAAGGGAAATTTATAATTGAGTCTGCTTTAAAAACAATATTTAAAATGCAATAAAGTTCAGTCAGAATTTATACATCTCACTGAGGGTGGTGGTTTTTTTTTGGCCCCAAAATATTTTAGAAGCATCAAATCCAAAACTGATATAAATGTACTTCTAGATGAATGAGATGAAAGGTTCAGAAAGACAAACAGGATTTGATCTCACTGTCCTGCATTATAATTATCTCTAAAATAGATAATTTCCCATGAGAATAAATTTATGCTATTAAAATTTAAAAAAAAAATAATTTCCAGGGGCTGAGTAATATTTTTTCTGGAAAGGGGGCGGTAGGCCAAATAAGTTTGGGAACCACTGTTCTAAATGAATGAGATGGAAGGTTCAGAAAGACAAACAGGATTTGATCTCACTGTCCTGCATTATAATTATCTCTAAAATAGATAATTTCCCATGAGAATAAATTTAATCTGAGTGTTACACAAAACCACTGATAAATCTGTTCTTTTAGGTATTCGGTCATTAAAATGCCCAAATTGTGATTATTATGCAAGTTATATTTTTCAGAAATCTTTATTTTTCTGAAGTTTCTGTCTATCCAAGAGGAAGTCATTATGCTTGACTGATAGTAAGATTTATGAACCAAACTCACTGGGAACAATTTCAAGAACCTTTATTGAAACCAACATTCAAATAGTATCTCAAGGGTGAAATTCTGTTTCAGCAAAACCAATTTAACAATTCCAAATATATATAAAAACATTTAAAAATTAATCTTGTTAAAGGTGATAATTTCCCCTTCCCCCATTTTAACTGCTATACTTCATTGCACCAAATAAACAGGGAAGACTTTGTTTAATCATCTGCACACACACAAAAAAAAGATAAAGGAAAATTGCATTTTGACAAATGCCAGATGTCAGAAATCACATCAAATCAGAGTGTAATTATAGGCTTACTGTGGTGTAACTAAGGCTTCCAATACTACAGTCCACAAACCCAGTGTAAATTCCCACCGTCTCAAGGTCTCTCAAGCCTGACTGCTGGACTGGAAGGCACGGGCCATTGCCTATGGTGAGTGAAGGGGTGCCGTCCTCTGGAAAAGTAGACATGGGCAGTCATGGAAGGGCTAACCAGTTACTTCAGCAGTAGTCTGGCTTGGTCAGCCTGAGAAAGCTTACTTTTCTCTTTCTTATTTGTGTGTTGGGCCTAAAGGGGTGAGCTGCTAGTGGAACAAAGCTATGGAAGCTCCCATGTGAAGCAGGTCAAAAGTATACTTATTTTAGAATTTAAATTTAACTGGGTGCTACACAGCATGTTAAATATTAGGCTTTTAGGAGTAGCATCTATTAGGTTTTCAGATATTAAACATAGAAATGTGCACAGTCTGTTCTCTTGTGCCAATTTAAAAGCTTTACCAATATTTAAAAATATACATATATATGGTCAAGAAGAGTCTTTACAGTTTCTCTTAATAGATGAGTCATTTAGTTAGTTTAGAAATAGTATATAAAGGGGGAAATGGATTTGTGGCAGAGGAAAGTCACAGACAGAAGCACTGCCCAGTCTAACTTGCTTGATGGCCTGCCACAGCTTGAGTGGACACAGTCCTTACTTATGTCTCCAGGGAAAGCAGCAGTTGGGGATGGCAAGAGAGGGCTTCTGACACTCTTATTTACAATTCCATTGAAACCCATTCTCTTTCAAGCCAACACGGTCCAGCTGTATACTGCAACCTGATCAAACTAAACACCAACTAAAATAGATGGCAAAGGAAGGTTGTCTGTCTCTCCTCTGCAGTGGTACAGCAGAGAACCCGGAGAGTTCTAAAGAAAGCTGTCTTACCAGAAAGTTATGTGTAACTAATAATTTATGTTTACAAGATAAGAGCATGTGTTTCAAGTGGCAGACACTTGACATTCTGAGTGTTCTTTGTGAATAAAAAGTGTTTACAGTAACTTGGGGGGAAATTATTACTACAGTTGGATAGACAGAAACAACAGTTGTTCTCTGTACCCATTACATTAGACAAATCAGTTACCCTGATTTTTTTGCACATACGTGTGCAAAAAGCCAGTTAAAGCACAAATAACAGTAATTTCTCTTGTATTAGCATGTGGCACAGTTCACATTTTCAGTATAACTATCTTCCATGACACAATATTCAGTACAGTCTCAAACCAAACACTGAATTTTATCTTAAGTTTTCCGGTTCTTCTACCTGTGGGCGGTCATCTTCTGAGCCCTGGGCTCTGTTCTGGAAGGTTCCAGTCTGCTCAGCTTCCTGAGGGGCGGGAGCCCCTGGGTGTTGCTCAGGGCTGTTAGCCTCCAGGGCCTCTTGTTCCTGCCCACTGGACAGGTGCTCCATTTTTTCTAAGTCTTCAATGTGACTGACTGAGCTTGTCTCGCTTAGAGCATCTGAGCCTCTTAGGGACTTTTTAAAAGGCTTCTGGCCTAGAGAAAGATGGGATAAACAGCACTGAAAATTCGATAAAGGATACTTCTGCAACAAAGCTATCTGTGCAACAAGAGATTGCTTTATCAATTCCAACCATTCAGTGGAAATCCCCAGAATTACTGGTTTGGAAGCATTTAAGTAATGAGACAAGAAAAGAGTTGATAATGGACTAACATGCTCCCAAGGCTAGGACTTTGGAGGTCACTCGTGAAAAGCTCAGGAGAGTAAACACCAGGTTAAACATGATGCCAGCTCGCAAGACCCTAACTTCCCCCTCGGGAGTGCTACAGAGGTATTCTTCCAAGGCTGAAGCCCAAGGCTACTGGAATGGTATTTAAAGGGACAGCTGGGCCCTAACCGGTTTGGCTCAGTGGATAGAGCATCGGCCTGTGGACCAAAGGGTCCTAGGTTTGATTCCAACCAAGGGCACATGCTTGGGTTGCGGGCTTGATCCCCAGTCAACCAAGGGCACATGCCTGGGTTGCGGGCTTGATCCCCAGTAGGGGGCGTGCAGGAGGCAGCCAATCAATGATTCTCTCTCATCATTGATGTTTCTATCTCTCTCCCTTTCTCTCTGAAATCAATAAAAATATATTAAAAATTAAAAACAAAAAAAGGGACAGCTGGTCTTAACTGAAGAGAAATGGAACTTTGGATTAAAGACCATGAAAACAAAGGAGTGTAGGCAATACCAAATGGAAAAACATTAAATGATGCAAAAGTCTATTTTCCCAAGAGAAATGTAAACCATTCTCTTTTTTATTTTGAGAGAGGAAAGGGAAAGGAAAGAGAGACAGACACATCAATGTGAGAGTGGAACGTCAATCGGCTGCCTCCTGAACATGACTCCTACTAGGAATCAAGCCTGCAACCAGGGCATGTGCTCTGACCGGGAATCAAACCAGCAACCTTTTGGTGCACAGGACAATGCCCAACTGAGCCACACCAGCCAGGGCCAACCATTTTCTTTAATACTAATGAACTCAAACATCTATATATATAAAAGCCCAGTGACCGTTAGCGTGGAATGACCAGAATGACTGGTGGGTATGACACGCACTGTGGCAGCCAACCAGCCGGATCCGGGCCATGATTGGCCCCACCCCCGGCCAGCCCGGCCCCCAATATCCCGATTGGGAGCAGGGTCAGCTGCCAACTGCCTGAGGCCCCTCCCCCCAGCTGGCCCCTACCCCAATTGGCCCAACACCCCTAAATCACTGTCTGGCTCCCTGGTGCATATACATTTAGTGCAAGCACAAGAAAATAATTATCAGTCCCTTCTGACCCAGACCAGAGTCTCCTGAGGGCTCTGCTATTACTGCAGCCAAGGTGTGGAATTCTCCCTCCATTACCCGCAGTCCCAGGACCTTCCAAGTTAGCCAAAAGGGCGACCTCAGCATTAACGGGATGGTGGCCCTTTGCTGAGGAATGTAGAGAGGCTGGGTGGGGATTTTGTGAAATTGCAGTGCCTTGCAGATTAGGTGAACTTTCAATCTCTTTTTAAATGGGGCGGTGAAGAGGACCTGCAGGCTGCCAGGAGGAACAGCGAAGGGTAGGCACATTCAAAAACAAAAACTTTTAAACAAACAGACTTGATATATGTTTGCAAACAACACATAAACAACATCATCTCATGGCACTTGAAATGCAAAACAGTTCTGTTGTGGGTTTTCTTTTGGCCATCCTTAAAGTATAATTAGATCCAGCTGGGGGAAAGCTATAGCTTCCAGCATTAGATCCCCCGCCCCCGATCAGCCCCCATTGGGGTGGCCGGATGGACCCCTCCCATGCACAAATTCATGCACTGGGCCTCTAGTGAAGATATAATGTACCTGGAAATCTGAGTTTAGTTCGAGTGCCTGTGGGGGTCTGAGGCGGTGTTACTCCTGTATCTTGTACTTTGTAGACATACGTGTGTTCTGTGGACTCCAGAGAGCCTGCCAGGGAAAGAAAGAGAGGGGTGGGTGGGTGGAAACTCCTGACACGGACTGCCTTGAGAGATGCTCCCATTCAGCCTTGTTCCCTACTGAGCTTCCTCCAGCCATGCAGCCTCACACAGACTAGTGGAGACTTGGGTACTCCTGAAACATGCTGGAACTGGAGAAAGCCACCTCACAGCTGTGCTCAGGAGTCCCGGCCCTGCTGGAATGTTTCATTCTTGTCTCTCCAGCTATCCTGTGTACACGTGAAGACAGCCAGCAGTGTGGCTGGCCTAAGCACGCCTGGAGAGCCAGGCCCAAGTGGGAAACACCCTAACTTCCCCCCTTGGAAGTGCTTTAGCAACAAGGAATGAAGGCCTCTTTGCTAAAGGCTGAGGCATGGCAGGTTTTAAAAGTCAGATTATCTCTGGTTGTCATATCGCAGTGGAGTCATCATTTCCTGGGGAAGGGACACAGGAAGGGGCCCTGGTAGAACAGGAAAGGAGTCTTGTTGGATATCATCTCCCCCAAACCCCAGCAACTGTTAGTTCTTGCTGGTTGCCTAGTTTGAAATCAAATAGTCCAGTGATACTGACCATGGTCTTCACTGGGCAAAGGCATTACTTTACTGGGCCAAACACTAATGAGGACTGCAATGTTCACACTGAAACCAAATGCCCAGACAGTCCTGAGGGCCTGAACAGCTGAGTGAACATGTTCTCACTGGATTCCAGGAAGAGAGATCTGCTGTGGGCAATGCGTATCTGCTTTTGGGCCATTTTAGCCAAGGGGTTAGGAGAAGGGAGAGGAGAGAGTCACAAGGGCAGGCAGATTCCTGGCACAGGACCCAGGATAAAGCATAGAAGGGAGAGGAGAGAGTCACAAGAGCAGGCAGATTCCTGGCACAGGACCCAGGATAAAGCATGGGACACACACAAGGCTTTTCGGCATGAGTGTGGGATCAGGGCATTTGGTCCAAACTCTCCAGGTACAGAGATCCGGGAGGAGGCTGTTGGTCCTACCTGCTGTTAAGTTAAAAGTTCTTCCCTTCTGTGAAGGCTGGACTGGAGAAAACCAATTCAGCACGGATCCTACTACAGGGATCTGCCGTAACACTCCCTGCAAAACAGAATGTTGCTCAACATCACCACCCTGTCCAGTCCGGCTCCCAGCCTGAGCCAATCAGCAGACTCACCTCTTCCAGAAGGCGCTCCTCATTGGCCTTCTGCAGTTGAACCTGAGCTTCCTGAATTCCTTTCCGAACCACTTCTGTCATGTTTTCCAGAAGCTGTGTTAAGACCAAGAAAGGCATTACTTGTCATCTAAACTTACTGCCTGGGGCCTAGAAGAACTATTAACACAGCACTGGGGACATTTTTCTAATGGAATTCTACAGTTTAAAAGGTCAGTGTAAAAATAAACAGAAAATCAAACAGAAGACAATAAAAGGCTCAAGGAGGTCTAGGCAGACAGACCTTGGTGACCAACCTCATTAGCCAGGGAACCGAGAGGAGAAATAACTATCCCTGTGATCTGAATGTCACATCATTAGAAAATAGACATGTGGCTCCTCATTCGTGGAAATGGAGTCAGAAGTGAGGTAGTCAGGTTTGGAAGAAACTGCAAAGTCCATTCAAGAATGAATCAAATGTCCTTCTCTTCCCCACCCTACCAAAAGTGACACACGTGACACGTTTCTGTCTCCTCTCAGATCAATCTTGTTTTGGTCCCTTTTCTCTCCTTTTGAGTGATTTCTAGTGACTCAAATCTCTGGTTTGGAGAACCAACTTTAAGCCTCAGAGGCCGCTCCTCCATGCCAACTGGTCAGCAGGAGCAGGTCTGTTACTGGTGGGAAGTTCGTTATCAGAAACATCTGTCTCATTCAGCCTCAGGACCCAGCTACAACCAGGAAGTGATCCCTGACCTTGTCAGACAGTGAAAGTATCTTTCTGAATGCGCAGCTACCGCTAACTTCTATTCTATAGCATTTACCACCTCACTTGGTTATATGTATCTCTCTCCCCCATTGGCTTGTGAGTTCCCCAAAGGCAAGTACCATGTCAAATCCACTTGGCATTCCCAATGCCCGGCACAATGCCTAATTCATAGCAAACATTTAAAAACTTTTGGGGAGCCCTAGCTGGTTTGGCTCAGCGGATAGAGCATCGGCCTTCGGACTCAAGGGTCCCAGGTTCGATTCCGGTCAAGGGCATGTACCTGGGTTGCGGGCACATCCCCAGTGGGGGGCGTGCAAGAGGCAGCTGAATCGATGTTTCTCTCTCATCGATGTTTCTAACTTGCTATCCCTCTCCCTCTCCCTTCCTCTCTGTAAAAAATCAATAAAATATATTTAAAAAATAAAAAAATAAAAACTTTCGGAAATATCTATGTCGTCACTCGCCGTGCCAATGTAAATACAGCTCTTCATACTTTTATACTCAGGGCCTGTGGGAAGAAACAACAGACCAACTTGGTTACCTGTCATGAGTCAGACACGGACCCACTTTTCTGTGCATGCAAAGGAACCTCCCTCTGGGGCGAGGAAAGTGGTTCTCACGAGGAGACGGGAAGCCTGGAGAGGCTGCGGAAGGGGAAAGGAGCTAGCTCACCCCTCAGGAAGAACCAAAACAATGTTTCCTCAAAAAGATAAAGCCTGTTTTCTCCTAATTAAGCCAGTTAAAAATGTCCTTGCAAAGTTAACAGTTGACTTATAAAAGTAGTAATTACCCATTTTAAATGTAAGGTCAGATTCTAGTTCGTTTAACTTTTTCAGGAGTCCAGCATGGATTTTTTCCCCTTCTGGATCTAATTTCAAACTGTTCTTATCATCATTAGCATGTTCATACCTGTAAACAACACCAAACAACAGTGTTTAAATCTGGAATAACAAATCTCTCTCAGATACAGCATTACTGTGAGAGTCTAAGCTATGGGAGGTTACCAAGAATGTGGATTGAGGCAAAGGGACAAAGGAGCCACTCGGGGGGTTTCAAGACCAAAACTTTCAAGACTGTCTCAAGGAAAGGCAAGTCTGTGAGGCCAAGAAATTTACAGAGAGGCCAAGGTCTGAAGTCTCATCATTTGTGATTAAAAAGGGAGCTGTCCCTCATCCTGAAAGGAGATGGAAAGCAGCCACAGGAAGGACAGCACACTGACTACAGGGGATGCAGGAGTTTGCTCTGCTGGGGAACCGGGCCCTTTTCCTCACACGCCGCGGACAGGAACCATCTGTCAGTTGTAGACCTGTATGTGTCTCCTAGTGACGGGGAGTTGGCACAAAAGCACATACAGCAACTCCTACTGCACTGAGTGCAATGGTGGGTCCCATCGCCTCCTACCTGTGCTTTTGTAAGTGCCCAGAATTACTACTTTTTTATTATTAATTTACTTACTGATTTGAGAGAGAGAGGGAAAGAGAAACATTGATTTGTTGCTCTACTTACTGATGCATTCATTGGTTGATCTTTTTGTTGTTGTTAATCCACACCCAAGGATATTTTTCCATTTTTTAGAGTGGGAGGGAGGGAAAAGACAGAGGGAAATACTGATGTGACAGAGACACATCAATTGGTTGCCTCCTGCACTTGCAGGCTGGGGATTGAGCCTGTAACCGAGGTATGTGCCCTTGACCAGAACTGAACCCAGGATCCTGCAGTCTGTGGGCCGACGCTCTATCCACTGAGCCAAATCAGGCAGGACCAGAACTTCTAAATGAATATTCATTAGACGTTTTTACTGTGACTACATGTACTCATCTGAGATTTTTAGTTGGTTCATAAAATGACCCAGCATGGTCTTTATACAGCAAAGAGAAATTCACATCAGGCAACAAGCAGAGACCATACCTGACAACCCCTATTCCAGGCCAGTTAGGGTCATCAACATGTAAGAGGCCTGCTGTTCTTGTCACTTCTTGCTTGAACTCCTCTCGCAGCTGTAGTGTACAGGTCAGGACCGGCAGCCTACTTTCTATGCAGGCTACGAGCTGATCCACATCCTCTCCCCGAGTTCCTAAAACTGAAAACATTCACGGAATGTTAGAGAAATGCTTAAGGAATAGCTAAAAATTAGAGGGCAGGGCTCCCACTTCCTTTACCAGAAAGGCCAACAGCTCTAGGTACATCCAATTAGCTGGAGCTGAGGAGCTAAAAAAATAAAAAGCTACTAAACCTAGATATGGAAGAATCTGGTATTATATAGCCAGATCCTTCAGGTGCAGACAGTTTTTTCTTTAAATAGAATTAGCCCCTCCAATTGAATACACAACGAAACTCTATTGTAAAAATGAGATTCTTCCCACAGAAAGATTTTGCTTAAATCAAGTTATAAACATCCTATTGCAAGTAAGAACAAAGAGGCAACCATACAGTTCTTTCTGTACATTAACATCTTAGAAGAAAGGTATTTTGGTGTGCTTGTGGCGGGAGGCAGGAAGGGCAGGGTGAGGAAGACAGAACTAAGTCACTTCTGAAGGTCAGAGCCTGAGAGGTCTCAGGGCTGCAGGGATCCAAGAGTCTTGGCACCATCATGGCTCCCTCACTTCTGTCGATTCGAACACTGCGCATGACCTCACTGAGCCACCTCGGTGTCCGCAGCCCGCTTTTCCAGTGTCAGAGACCAAGCCTCGGGCTGGGTGAGGATGCTGGGCGGCAGGAGCAGAGACTCCTGGAGAATCCCGAGGCCACCAGCCATCTTCACAACAGCTTTTCTCTGCAGGACAGATGCCTAACTTCCCTACTTTGATGTTTTTGAGAAAATATCCCAAAATGTTGAGAACGTTTCATGAAAAACCATCAAACATTTTCTGAAAATGTCTAAATCATTTCAAAATAAAAGCACAACAAAAAATTTAATACATCTTTTTTCAGCTTATTTTTAAATGCCTGCTATAATATGCTAAGCACTATCTAAGGCATTTCATATACATGTTCTCATTTTAATATTCACACCATTACCATGAGGTAGTGTGAAATAGGCCTGGATGTAAGTAACTTGCTCAAGGTCCCCACAGGTATGAAGTGGCCTAGGGGAACAAATACCCAGGACTCTGTCATCAGAGACCAGGTACTTTCAGCTTCATTCTTTCTTAAATGACTAAAAGTGGTTCTCAGCCTTTCCTGGCCTATGTGAATCACCAGGGAACTTTTAAAAAATATATTTTATTGATTTTTTACAGAGAGGGAGAGGGATAGAGAGTTAGAAACATTGATGAGAGAGAAACATCAATCAGCTGCCTCCTGGATGTGCCCATAACCGAGGTACATGCCCTTGACTAGAATCAAACCTGGGACCTTTCAGTCCACAGGCCGACGTTCTATCCACTGAGCCAAACCGGTTAGGGCACCAAGGGAACCTTTAAAGATAAGATGCCCAGGCTCCACTCTAGACCAAGGAAATCAGAATCTCTGTAGGTGAGGCCCAGCCGCTGGGAGTTTTCAAAGCTCCACAGGTGATTCTAATATACAGTCTGGACTGAGAACCACTGACAGAAAAGGGTCACAAGACATCAAAACACAGGAGTTCAAGTGACTTCAGAAGTCTCCGTTTCTGAGAAATGACACTGGAAGGCTAATCTACCTAAATTTAACCCAAAAGAAAAGAAAAATCCTTTTCAAAGAGAACAGAATATCATAAGGGAAAGCTATAAAATCCCACAGCCTGGACTTTCATAGACATGTCACTGTTGTTCCCCAGAACAAAAGTGAGGGCAATCCATGGAGACAAGTTACCTGCCGCTGTCATCAAAGGGCTGAACCTCACACACACTCCCTCTGCTTCCAGATCCATGACGGTGAGGCCACTCACAGGCACCAGCTGTTTCAGCTGTTCTCCCAGCTGCAGGGAAAAGGGTAGAATGAACACACTCCTGCAAGGAGGGAATCAAGTGTCTTCAGACCTACCCTCGTCCATTCAGCCCCAGACTCAAGAAGCCCCTGGGGGGCTAGTTTCCTTTAATCTTTTTCTTAAAAAGGAAATCTTATCTTTTAAAAAAAAATGTTTTTACTGACTTATGGTAGAGAGAAAGAGATAGAAACAGCAATAATGAGAGAGAATCATCAATCGGCTGCCTCTTGCACGCTCCCCACTGAAGATCAAGCCCACAACCTGGGCATGTGCCCTGACTGGGAATTGAACTGTGACCTCCTGGTTCATAGGTCAATGCTCAACCACTAAGCTACACCGGTTAAGCTCCTTTAATCTTTTGATTTTCTTTGAATGCTATCATAATTCTTTTTTAAAAACAGTAAATTTTACATCTATTCTTAATAAAAAACAACAACCCAAGTTCATTGTAGAAAAATCTAAGAAATACAGGTAAACCAAGTGAATAAAATAAAAATTTCCCACAATATACCACTGATGTCATGTGGCATACCCACACTGTCTTTCTCCCTGTGTATGTGTGTGTGCGCATGCCTTATTGTTGTCATAAACCAGGATAGTCTATACACTGGGTTGTACTCTGCATTTTTCATATAACTTATGACCATTTCCCTTCTTTCATAAACACCCAGACACATGGTTTAGTCTGGCTCTTTTGAACGTCACTGTATGGACATACCATTACTTACTTATTCACCATACACCCTAGGTTGGGCATGTCCAATGTTTTGCTAGGATTTATAATTCTGTGCTAAACATCCTTACATTGTTTAGAACATTCTTTAGACTGAAATCCTTGGAGGTACAATTTTAGTGTCAAAAGGAAGCCAAGCACAATGCCTTTATTCATACTGCCAGACTGCCCCGGCGGTGTTCAGGGGCCTCTGGCTTATGTGCTTTCTGGTATCACCACAGACCCTCACCAGAACCCCAAAGTGGCTGCACTGTAATCTACATTGTGCATGTTGTTTAACAGCAAAGAAATGGTCACATGAGGAAACTGAGGAAATATGCTGGAAAGACCTGCCGGAGCCAGGAGTATGGGAGGGAGTGATCTGATTAGGAATAGAACCCCAGGACCAAGCCCGCCTTCACAGGAGGCTTCCTCCCGTGGGTCTCATTTCCCAGACATGGCCACGTGTTATTCCAACCATCTGGGACGTATAGCGCACAACTGCCATTCCTACCCAGCGATTCAGTGCATCACAGGAGTGTCCCTCCCGGCCGACTGTTGAAGGTGCCATGTTGGGTGCTGGGACAGTTTTAAGCACTGGATCTAAAACCAAAACAGAGGAAGGGATTCACTTCCCAGAAACACAGCAAACTAAATAAGGCAACCCTTCAATTTCATTTCATTTAGCTCCTAACATTAACCCACAAAACAGTCTCAAATAATATGGAAATCAAATGTGTATCTTACATGAATGGATGCACAAAATGTGGTGTATGCATACATAGACTATAATTCAGCCTTAGAAAGGAAGGAAATTTTGTCACATGCTCAGTATGGATAAACCTTGAGGATACTACTCTAAGTGAAATAAGCAGTCACAAAGGACAAGTACTGCATGCTTCTGCTTTTATGAGGCACCTAAAGATGTCAAATTAATAGAAACAGGAAGTTCAATGGGGTTTGCCAGGTGCTGGGAAGAGGAAGAAAATGGAGAGATGCCGTTTAATGGTTAGAGGGTCAGTTTTGCAAAATGAAAACATTCTGGAGAGCTGCTGTACAACAATATGAATAAACTTAATACTACTGAATTGTACCTGTAGTGGTTAAATTGACAAATTTTGTTTTTTTATTTTTATTAGTTAAGGTATTACAAATGTGTCCTCATCCCCCCCATTAATCCCCAACCTCCCCCCGACAAATTTTGTTTTTTAAGGCACAGTTTAAAAATAAATGTATCTTACTAAATTAAATGTTACTTTTTTCATGAAAAATATAACCTTTGAATATAGTCACACAAATAGAGTTCTTTACTTAAAAAGTTTTCTATCAAGGGATTTCAAAAGGAAATCAAAGCATAACATTATAAATTATCAACTGAACACTGTGCAAGGTAAATCAGAGAAATCACCCAATAGCTGGGCTTCAAAACAGCATCAGCCTTTACTCATCAAACAATCTGGATAACTACTCGTGCCAGGAGCTGGGTCAGGCCCAAGGGATATAAGGCTGATAAGGTTTTCTTCATCTTGGAGTTTATATTCTACTTGAGGAAACAGACCATAAAGAAAGCAATGAAATCACTAATATTGCTGTGAGTGCCATGCAAGAAGGGGGGCTTGCACAGGCAGGGAAGGCCTCTCTGAGGAGGTGGACATTATAGAGACCTAAATGGAAAAGAAGTCAGCCAGAAGATGAGGGGAAATGTACTAGAGGTGGGGAAACAGTAGTGCAAAGGTCTCACTCTAGTGAGCAGGAGGAAAAGTGGCCTAAGAGGAAGTCAGAAAGGCAAAGGCTAGAACTGCAGTCCTTACAAGACCTAGCACAGAGCCTGGACCTCATTCAACTGAAACAGTAAGATCCCAGAGAGCGACGCAATGTGACTTCCACTTGTAATGCTCACTCGGACTGCCTTGTAGAGAATGGTCTGGAATGGGATGTGGGGAATCTATCAAGTTGATAGATCAGTTGAGAGGGGACTGTGGCCATCCAGGTGAAAAATAACAGTGCCCTGGCCTAGGCTGGTGGCACTTGGGACATTCTAAAAAATAGAGATTCCTAGATCCAATCTACTAAATCAAAATATCTAGTAAGTAGGACCCCAAACCTCTATTTTCAAGGGACTCTTTTTTATTCATTCCAGTACTAGTGCAGAGACTAGAATTTGGAAACCAATGGTTTACCATAGGAAATTACTGATAAAATGCTAAGGCATTTAGGTCTGGAATTCTTATGAAAATTATTAAATTTTTCTGAAGTGAGGATTGAAGATTTTTAGTAATCAAAATATTTTGGACTATGTATTTTACTTGAGTTTAAAATTAAAAGCCCTTAGACACAATACAAAAGTAACACTCTTTTAAAAATCACCTACCTGAGCCTGGTAATTCCTGGAAAAATCTAAACACTACTACTGGAGAACTGAGTTCATCTTCCACCTGAAAAATAGAATCTGACATTACCCAGTCACATCACATTTCAAACACCTACAAAATGAAACAGAGTTTGAAAAACCGGCTAGAGATTTTATATTTTCTTAATAAACACTTAAGTTTAAAGGTTAATTTCAGTTGTTAGAGAAACAAAAATCAAGGGTTCAGTAAATAATTATAAGCTAGTTCTGAGAATACACTGCTGAATTACAGTAAGTGACACTGGAAAAAATATAGTGACACTGCTACAGTGAGATTAAAGTAGAAGGAAATTTTTATAACAATGGGTAAATATAAGTCGTTATAACATTGAAGATCAAAAAAGGCAAGGAAAAAGTTGAACTAGAATCAGTGCTGAGAGAGCCAAAGCTTTTAAGAATCCAAAAATGATGCTAACTCAATCAGTCAGGATTGACTGGAACTTTTTATACTCATAAAAAAAAGGAAAACAAGGACTTCTATCTTTTCAAACTCCCGGAACAGAATGCAAGTCCTGCTGGTAATGTAGATAACCACAGTCTAGAACTGAATCTATGTATTTCCTAAATCAGCGGTTGCCAACTGTTGGTCCGAGGACCACTGGTGGTCCATGAGGTCCGAAAGGTTGGTGGCCACTGGTCTAAATCACTGAAATGGTACTTATATTCAGGACAGGCATCAGGCAACCAACTTCATTAGTGGATTTCATAACAGATGAAAACATTCACTGCATTAAGATAAGCCAGTGCCAAGTTCATGTTCTCCACTGAACAAATACTCAGCTGGCATCAGCTTCACTGTGGAGTCAAGATACAAAGGGAGCTATAATGCCCTTGACAGACTGTGGTACTTTAGGAGGTCAAGGAGAGAGAAACATGAGAAGAAAGATCTCTAGGCATTCAAAAATTCAAGTACTAGTCATAAAACCTATTTTCTAAAGCTCTGTGAATGATGTCTCATTCATAGGGGCATCACAGGTAATGCTAACTTGGAAAGATGACAGGAAGTTGTCAGCCCAAGATTTTCTCTACTGACTTTTCAAAAGACTCTATGGATGTTGTTCAGATCAAACACGATAGATATTCAAATCTGCTAACTATTTTTAAAAAAATATATTTTATTGATTTTTTACAGAGAGGAGGGGAGAGGGATAGAGAGTTAGAAACATCGATGAGAAACATCGATCAGCTGCCTCTTGCACGCCCTCTACTGGGGATGTGCCCGCAACCAAGGTACATGCCCTTGACCGGAATCCAACCTGGGACCCTTGAGTCCGCAGGCCGATGCTCTATCCGCTGAGCCAAACCGGTTAGGGCTCTGCTAACTATTTATTAAGCCAATTCCTGTGTCTTCACATCTATTATTCCTTTAACTTTCATAAAAATAAATCCATTAATACTTTAAAGTTAGAGGGGCTTAATATTTAATAGGATGGATAAACCCAATAAGGAAATAGGAAAAACAGTGTCAAAATTCTACACCCATTCCCCCATCCTCAGGATAAGGCAGAATGATTCGAGTGCCAAGACTTCTATAAATAGGCCTTTTCTCTTTTCTTATTTCTTTGAGCTCAATGATCTTAAATGCCAGTGTGCATAAGAAATACTGTACAGGGTTATACAGTTGACCCTCCATACCTATGCATTCCATATCCAAGGATTCAACTAACAGGGGATCAAAAATGTTTGGGAGCCCAGATGGTGTGACTCAGTGGTTGAGTGTCGACCTATGAACCAGGAGGTCACAGTTCGACTCCTGATCAGGGCACAGGCCTGTGTTGCGGGCTCGATCCCCAGCAGGGGGTGTGCAGAAGGCAGCCAATCAATGATTCTCTCTCTTCATTGATGTTTCTCTCTCTCTCTCCCTCTCCCTTCCTCTCTGAAATCAATTAAAAATATGTATTATTTTAAAAGTTATTTACTTCAAAAACAGATCAAATTTTATACTATACCAAAATTTTGATGTGGTTCACTTTCTTCAAACTTTCTTGCAACCGCTGACTCTGTAAATAACAAAAACAAAAAACAAAAATTACAAGTTATGTAATTTTATTATATTGACAAGAACATATTAAGAAGCAATTTTCATGAGTTCTTTGCAGGTCTGCAAACAAGCATCTTGTGCAGATAAAGCCATCTGCATATAGGTGATTTCTAAGTTCAGCTGACAATTTCTGCATTTCAACATCTGCAAATATTCCCTATTATTTCAGTTTGAAGTTATATTTAGTGGTTCTAGAAGAGCTTTTTCTGATGAGATATAAGTGAATTTTTCATGCTAGTAATTTAAGACATCCATTCATTCAAAAACTACTACTGAGTGTAGGCAACAAAAGCAAAAATAAACAAGTGGGACTACATCAAACTAAAAAGCTTCTGTAGAGCAAAGGAAACCAATAAAATGAAAAGGCAACCTACTGAAGGGGACAAAATATTTGCAAATCATTTATCTGATAAGTGGTTAATGTCTAAAGTATATAATGAATTCACACAACTCAATAGCAAAAAAAATAAAACAAAACCAAAATCTGATTTAAAAAACGGGCAGAAAATTTATAGACTTTTTCCAAAGAAGACATAAAGATGGCCAACAGGCATGTCAAAAGATGTTCAACATCCCTAACCATTAGGGAAATGCAATGAGATATCACCTCACACCTGTCAGAATGGCTGTTATAAAAAAGACAAAAAAAATGGCAGGCCGGTGTGGCTCAGTGGTTGAGCATTGATCTATGAACCAAGAGGTCATGGTTCAATTCCCAGTCTGGGCACATACCCAGTAGGGGTTAGTGCAGGAGGCAGCTAATCAATGATTCCCTCTCATCATTGATGTCTCTATCTCTCTCCCTCTCCCTTCCTCTCTGAAATCAATAAAACTTTTAAAAAGACAAAAAAAAGATAACAAGTGTTGGCAAGCATGTGGAGAAAGGGGAAACCTTATGCACTGTTGATGGGAATGTAAATTGGTAGAGCCACTATAGAAAACAGCATGGAGGTTTCTTAAAAACAGCCCTGCGCTGTATGGCTCAGTGGTAGAGGGTTGCATGTTTGATCCCCAGCCCTGGACAGGGCACATTCAGGAGGCAACCAACCGAAGAGTCTCTCTCACATTGATGTTTCTTCCTCTCTCCACCCCCTCTCTCCCTCCACTCTCTCTAAAAACCAATAGAAAAATATCTTCAGGTGAGAATTAGACTAAAATTAAAAATAGAGCTGCCATATGACCCAGCAACTCCACTATTCCACTTCTGGATATTTATCTGAAGAAAACAAAAACACTAATTCAAAAAGATATATGCACCCCATCTATAATAATAAAAGTGTAATATGCTAATTAGACCAGAAGTCCTTCCAGATGTCCTTCTGGACCACCTTCCAGGCGAAGCCAGGGCTGCGAGAGAAGCCAGTGCCGGCAGCTGGGGGAAGGAAGGCCTACTTTCATGAAGTTCGTGCATTGGGCCTCTAGTGTTTATATAATAGCCAAGATATGGAAACAACCCCAAGTATATATTTAAAATAAAGACGTACTTTTATTTAATTAATTTATTATTATTATTTTTTAATCCTCACCTGAGGATATTTTCCCCATTGATTTTTTTTTAGAAGAGTGGAAGGGAGGGAGGGGAGAGAGAGTGGAAGAGAGAGGGAGAGAGAGAAAGGGAAGGAGGGAGTGAGGGGGGAGAAGAGAGAGAGAAGTAGTAATATGAGAGACACACATTGACTTGCTGCCTCCCAAATGCACCCCAACCAGGGCCTGGGATTGAGCCTGCAACTGAGGCACATGCCCTCAACCAGGAATTGAACCCGAGACTCTTTGGTCTGTGGGCCAATGCTCTAACCACTGGCCAGGGCCAAAGATTTACTTTTAAACCTATTATAACTTATTATGTGATTAGGCCAGGGGTGGGCAAACTTTTTGACTCGAGGGCCACAATGGGTTCTTAAACTGGACCGGAACAAAAGCATGGATGGAGTGTTTGTGTGAACTAATATAAATTCAAAGTAAACATCATTACATAAAAGGGTACGGTCTTTTTTTTTTTTTTTAGTTTTATTCATTTCAAACTCGGGCTGTAGTTTGCCCACGGCTGGATTAGGCACTATTGTAAGAGCTTTATATGCATCAACTTATTAAGTCCTCCTAACAATCCTTTGTTATATCATTATCCCTATTTACAGGTAAGAAAACAGGTATAGAGAGGTGATGTCATGCTTTTAGACTTAGGCAGGACTCAGCTCTCAAACTGCATAAATATGACTTTTTTTTTTGCTTTCTAAACCACAGCATCTATAATAATAAAAGGGTAATATGCTTATTAGACAGGATGTTATTCCGGACGACCTTCCTGACAAAGCCGGGCCCCAAGGGAAGCCAGCCTGGGTCCCGGGTGCCTGTGGGCGGCTGGAGGAGGGAATCAGCCTGGGTCCCGGGTGCCTGCCAGCAGCGGAGGAGGGAAGCCCGGTGCCGGAGGGAAGCTGGTGCCAGCAGCCAGGGGAAGGAAGGCCTACTCTTGCACGAATTTTCGTGCATCGGGCCTCTAGTCTTATATAATAAAAGCCTAATATGCTAAGTGTCTGATCGACCAGTTGGCCTTTCAACCAATCAAAGTGTAATATACCAGTGATATGCTAAAGGCTGCTCAACCGCTTGCTATGATGTGCACTGGGCACCAGGGGGCAGACGCTCTGACTGGTAGGTTAGTTTGTTGCTGGGTTCTGGCCGATTGGGACTGGGCGAGATGGGCCCGACACACCCTGGAGCCTTCCTGCAGTCCCTCCCCTGCTGGCCAACCTTCCGAGTCACTCCCTGGCTCCAATTGTTCACCAGTGGGGTCCCTTGGCCTGGCCTATGCCCTCTCACAATCCGGGACCCCTTGGGAGATGTCAGAGAGCCAGTTTTGGCCTGATCCTGCAGGCCAAGCTGAGGGACCCCACTGGTGCATGAATTCGTGCACCGGGCCTCTAGTAATTATGTATTTTTCAAAATGAGAAAGAACATCTCAAAGAGAAACAGAATTAAAATTGTCCCTCAAAGTCTTGCTATTAGAGAACTCAAGCCAGTTGCTGTTAAAAATGTGCATGCCATCCATAATCAACCTTAACCATCATATTCCTTTACCCTCAAGGATCAGTCAGTCAAGTGGAACATTTATGCCCCTTTCTGCATCCTTCACCACTCTGTGGCTGTCCTCTTGTGACTTCTTTCCTCATCCTATGCTGACAACAGCATTCATTTTTTAAAAAATATATTTTTACTGAATTCACAGAGGAAGGGAGAGGGAGAAATAGAAACATCAATGATGAGAGAAAATCATTGATTGGCTGCCTCATTGCATGCCCCCTACTGGGGATCAAGTCCACAATCTGGGGATGTGCCCTCGACTGGAATCAAACCCAGGACCCTTCAGTCCACAGGCTGAAGCTCTATCCACTGAGCCAAACTGGCTAGGGCGACATAGCATTCATTTTAACAAAGATGCTGGGACAATCTCAACAGTCTCTCCCAGAACTCTGAACAAGAAGCATACATGCAGAGCTATTCATCCACTTGCTTATGAAACAGGAAATCCAGACAAGGTATTGGATGGAGAGTAAATGACTGAAGTATTTTTCTGACTCTGCTTTGCCATGGAGTATTATTTGTGACTCATTTAAACTTCAGATTTCTACTCACCAGTTGGCAGGCATGCTTAATCCTCTCCACAATCCCATCAAGTCCCAAGTACTGTAAAGACAACCACAGTGGCAGGGCACGGAGTTTGTCCGCTGGTTTATTTGATGTGAGACCAGCAACTAAAGTCTAAAAAAGCCAATATGAGTTTTTAATCAAAGTCAATGAAAGCATATAACAGAATTAACTAGTTACCATTTCCTAGGCACTTAGTATGTGTCAGATGCTATGCCAGGCACTTGGCTTGTATTATTCATTTAATCATTCAACAACTCTATGAAGTAACTATTTGCCCGAGGTTTCATGTCTTAGATGTGACAAAGCCAGGATGAGGATCTAAATGAGTCATATCCCAGAGCCGGAGCTCTTAGCCACTCAAGAGGCAACCCCTTCCAAGGTTGTTCTGATCATCCTCAAATACTTGGTCATTATCAATTGGGCAAGACATCAACTGTTGTATGTAGCAAGAATCACTTAAAGCTTGTTTTGCATGAGCCTATCACTGACTGATCACTACCAGGACCACTCATCTACTTTGTTACAACCTCCTAGACAAGGTGGACTACGCGCTTTCACCACTCCGAGAGGAATGCCACTTCTGGGAACCTATTCTAAGGAAATAATTTGAAACATAGAAAGATGCTCATTATTTCAGTAACAAAAATTTGAAAACATCCTAAAAGTTCACAATTGGAGAACGATTAAATAAATCGTGGTATTGGCGTAATAGAATATGATGTAGTCATAAAACATCATAATGTGTTCTTCATATACACAGGGAAGTATGGGAAGAATAAGTAGAAAAAATACACGTGGTACAGTTTCACTTCTGTTAATAATAGTTTTTGAAAGTAAAAAATCACAGAAGTGACATTAAGGAAACTTTTCACTATTTCCTTTGTTTTTCTGTGTTTTTGCCCCCAGAACCAGTAATGACTATGAGCACTCCCTGCCAGTACGAGTAAGCTTACCAAGGCAGGATCATCATGTTTATAAAGAGTGACTGCAGGAACCGCTGGCAAACCCAGCCACGGGCCTGGAGTCAATGTCATGCTATCACATTTGGTTGCAGCCTACCAAAGAGAGAACAGCTTTTTGTTAGACTATTAGAATACACAAAACCCAACACCCTCCTCCATTCATAAAAACCACGAAAAGCCCCCAGGAATTAAAAGATTTAAAATTCCTTCTTTAAAATACAGTATTTAGTAAATCAACAACATACCAGCACTGATGAGGAGACATAACCTAGAGCCAATGTTGCCAGATTCACACTGGAAGAAAAAAACACTAATCTAAGAACGAATTATTTACTGCTGCTTATTCACTAAGTATGTATTTAAAAAAGAAAGAGAGAGAGAGAGAGAGAGAGAGAGAGAGACTGCTATCTTTCAGCTGTGTTATTAGCTTTTATAACAGCAATAGAAAATGTGGTACATGCAAATTTTAGGAATACCTTGAAAATGCATTTTAATAAAAATATAGTTCAGGGATATTTCCTACTTATTTGGTGTGATGGGTCTTGTATCTCAAAGCTATTATTTTCCGGTCATCTTTCCCAGAGGGATACAATAATGAAGAAACCTACCGTGCATGATGTGCTGGATATGGACTGCTTTGGTTGCCCTGCATCCTCTCCCCGCTCTTAGCAGCACTCCAATGACTTTCTGGGAAATCACCCCAATCTCCTTTATTGGACCACAGCTTTGGGCAGAGGAGACACCACCACCGGCTCCAGAGGTGGGCAAATAACCTAAACTACCTTTCCCTGGCTACAGTGATTGGTATGATATTTTTCCTGGGGCTTCTGACCCACTGGACACAAACTGGAAAAAAGGCTGGAGTTGCTGCAGCTACTTTGGACCATAACAGGAAAGTCTATCTATACATGGAGCCAACACAGAGGATATTAAACCAAGTGACGGAACCTGATTGAAGTTGTGCCTGAAGCCAATTCCTTACACTGTTTGTTGTTAGTTATGTGAACCAATAATCTCTTCTCACTTAAGCCAATTTGGGTTTTCTTGTTATTTGCAACCCAAAGAGGTCTTAGTGATAAATGTCATGACAAAGTGAGAGCGGGGATGTCCACTCCTCATGAGCACTGTGTGCAGGCCACTCATGGAGCCAATCCCACCTTCCACTCACCCCTCCACATGAAGCCATATGCCATACTGCTCACAGAGTTCTTTCAAACGCCCAATCTTATCTGTGTGTCCTACCGCTGCAGTTCCTAGGATAAAGCACACACAAAAAGATACTAAAAGGAACAAATATTTTCTGAGTCTTTAAAGTATGATTAAAACTTTTATATACATTATCTCCCTGCGACTGAACTAACATTGTATCTCTTTTATTAAGATTTGGCTCAGTGGATAGAGCCTCAGCCTGCGGACTGAAGAGTCCCAGGTTCGATTCCAGTCAAGGGCATGTACCTTGGTTGCAGGCATATCCCCAGTGGGGGGTGTGCAGGAGGCAGCTGATCGATGTTTCTC